ATTTGAGGTAATTACCATAGACCATATTTATATAAGAAATATGGAACCATAATCTTGGTAATTATCTAGGCCCCTATATTAAAGGATGTCATCCTGTGATCTTGAGTCTCTCTGTCTCTCTCTGCCTTCCTAGGGATCCATTTGTCCATTTCCTTCGGCTAACCCCCAGGAACCACCTTGCTTTGTCAAAATAGAGCTCGTTGTGATCAAGCCACTAGACAGAGCGCCTTGCACATCAGAAGTCAGACAACTAAGTCTGTTTAAGGTAGATGCCAACCACTGGCTGAGGCGGGGGCCATCTGCATCGATGTGCTCCTTCACATTTGGAAATATGTGCTTTATCTCAACAAAGAATGACCACTCACTTGAGCAGTACCCTAAACCCTAAACTCCTAAAACCTGAACCCTAATCAGCCCTTACCCTTTGCACGCTGTCATCCAGATCTCAAGTCCCTACGATGAGCTTTGTTTAGGGTTTGGGTCGGCTCCACGTCTACTACTCCCACTTCCTCGCTTCCCTTGCGAATTTTCTGAACCCCATCCCGCCCTTAACTGGGTTGCTGTTCAGGAACTTGAATTAAGTTACCATAATGGGTAGATACGATAAACAACAGGTTTTCCCGAATATAGTAGCTTATATGAATAAATTAGGTCCCTCAAATCCCTATATTCCACCAGATTCCATTTCATCTTCCACTCCATTCTCCATTTTAGAGAATTAAAGCTCCTATATTTTCCATATGATTTTCCATTTTCTTTTCCATTTGATTCTCCATTATTGGGGTATATAACCCCCTAAACCCTAAACCCTAAATAACCCAGCTCCTGTAGAACCTTCTTCATCAAATCCGCATTGCGGCCCCCTCGCAGCCGGATCTCGTTCTCACCCTGGCCGACGCTAAGGAGTAGGCTCCCACGCTCCCAGCTGTCATCTCCGATGATCACCTTAGGTACTTTTTAGGGTTTAGGGCTTAAGGGTTAAGGGTTTAGGGGTTAAGGGTTTAGGGTTTAAGGGTTTGGGGTTTAGGGTTTAAGGTTTAGGTTTTAGGGTTTCAGATTTAGGGTGTAGGGTTTAGGGTTGAGGGTTTATATAACCATAGGGAAGATCTACTGAAACCCTAAGCCTTATTATGATATACTCCTACTTTCTATTGGGGATGATAGGATGCCCAAGTAAAGCATTCCTCAGGTGTGGTTCTGGCCTCAAATGGGGTTCTGGGGTCCCACGGACATATTAGGAGTTGAGGATCAGAAATGGGCCGTCAAATTCCTAGTCAGGGTCCATGGGGATGTAATCATGCTTTGAGGGCATGTGGCAGACTAGTTCCTAGAAAGAGTCGCCTTCTGGTTAGAAGTATAACAACGACTGTCAACATGATGGGAATGATGCCGGACTGATACTGACGAACGAACATTCTAGTAATGATATTGGCAATCAGACTGTCGCAACAATATGAACCATCGCCTAAAATCCTAGTATCCGCCTTAGTAACACCTATAGTAGTCCCTATATAGTCCCCTATTTCACCATAGCTCCTATCACGAGATCTTGGTGCCCCAGGCCTCTGCCCTAAAGCCTAAAAACTAAGCCCGAAACCCTAAAGCCTAAACCCTCAGCCCTAAACCCCAAACCCTAAGCCCTAAACTCGCCTTAAGGAGATCTTGGTGGCCCCAAGCCTCTCTGGTGACCACGGGCTTCTTCTGCGACCAGTCAATGCTGGTGGTGAGCTGGAAGAGCTCATCCGCAGATGCTACAGCTCCTCGGCGGCCAGCTGAGGAAGATGGGGGGTTTAGGGTTTAGGGGGTTTAGGGGGTTTAGGGTTTAGAGGGTTTAGGGTTTTAGGTGGACCCCCTACCTAGGAATAGTGACTATAAGGGATAACAAGGATTATATCAGGGTCCTCAATATATTCCTACTATTGGGGGGTTCCTCCTAAGGTAGATGGAAGCAACACACTTCTTTGAACATGATGAAGCAATAATCTCAAAAGCGGTGCTACGGAGAAAGGAGACGGAAGCTGTCATGGTCACTAAACCCTAAACCCTCAACCCTACACCCCAAACTCCACCTCTGATCCTGATAACTCTCAAGGTCAAGGATCTCAAGGCTTCGAGAAATTCCTGCAAAACCGCTGCAACTAGGTCATATTAGGGCTATATTGGGGCTGTATTGGGATCATGGAAAAATATAGTGGAAGCTACTATAATATTACAACATTTCTTCAGGATGACCCTCTGTACTACAGGGCCTACATAATTACCAGGGGCCTAAATAAGGGTTTTTGGGGTTTGGGGGTTTAGGGTTTTAGGGCGTAGGGGCTTAGGGCCAAGGAGGTCCATTTGAGGTACCATAGACCATATTTATGTAAGGAATATGGAACCATAATCTTGGCAATTATTTCGGCCCCTATATTGCCTGTATACCCCCCCTAGCCTGTGAATTTCAGTCGATAGCTGAGCCCTAGAAGCTCAATCCACAACCCAAGCTCTTGACACGCTTGGCTTCTTGGGGGTTTTCGGGAATAAGGGACTTATTCCCTACTACTTGAACCCCAAACTCCCAAATCAACCCTAAACCCTAAACCCAAAACCCTAAACGCCAAACATCAAGAAACCCTAAACCCTACATCAAGTCCGAGCTTCCAGAAGGTCCCGAACTGCGGCAGCAGCAACAGGAGCGTGGCGCCTGCTTATAAAGGGACCTAAGGTTTCCATTTCATTTTCCATTTTCTTTTCCATTTGATTCTCCATTATCCCAATATTACCCCAATATAATCCTAATATTCACTATATAACCCCTATATAATCCCAATAATAAAACCCCGGCATTTTTAGCAGTGTTGAGGTGGTTGGAGGCTAAAGGCTTGCCGGCTTAAATTACAAAGCACATGGGCTTTAGATGGTTTATTAGTACTATTATGAATACTATCACAATTACTACTGTTTCTATTATTATTATTATTAGTACTTTTGATGCTTTTTTGTGTTTTGGGTTTTGGGCGGCATGCACGCTTTCAATATCACTGTTTGGCAACTGCTACTGCAGCATGAGGACCCCTTCGAGTTTAGAAGGGCTACGCGTGCCTCACAAATGATACATGATGAGATGGGGGATGATGGGAGGTTTGACTCACCTTATTCCGTACTCTAAACCCCAAGATATACCCTACTGCAATGTAGTAATTAGCTTCCATTTTCTTTTCCAGTACATGAAGCCCGGGTCATCCTCAAATCCATTACCCTAATCCCAAAACCCGAGAGCACTGTCCACTGCTGGGCATCCTTAAAAGCAGGTTTCATAGGGATTCTCAGGTCCCGGGGGGCTAAAAAAGGGTACTGCGCAGCAGGATTCGCACTGGCTCTAGTGCACTTCGACTTGGGTAGGGCAATATTGGGGGTTTAGGGTTTAGGGTTTAGGGATAGTGGGAAATAAAATGGAAACTATTCTAATATACTAGGGTATATAGGGGGGTTATATAGTAATACTTTGTGTTATTTCAAAAAGGCAACGACCTGATACTACAACCCTGCGACGACCGCCGCAACCACCACCATCATATCAGCAGTGCTACCAACCACTCCCAACACCACGACATTGATCATGGCTCACCACGCCCTGAACCCTAAACCTTAGACCCCTATACCCCTAAACCCTAAAAACCTAAACCCTAAACCCTATTACAGCAACTACAGGCTACTGCCACCATTGATTCACTGGCACCTCCTCGGGGTGTGCCGCTGCCATAGGTCATGGAGATTTTCAGGTCCAGTGAAATGCGTGGCTCCCCGATTCAGGGAGTAGGGTTTAGGGGTTTGGGGTTTAGGGGTTTAAGGCTTAGGGTTTAAGAATAAGGTTTAGGTGTTTAGGGGTTTAGGGTTTTAGGGTTTAGGTGTTTAGGGGTTTCGGGTTCCTGCTTTCTTGTCCTTCTAGTAAGGAACACCATGTTGGGTAGATGGGGACCCCAGGATTTTGTATCTAAGCTGCTACCCGCTCTTCTTAAGCGAAGGCCCGTGGTTGCGCTTGCCTGAAACTTGCGCAGCTGGCACGTGCAATAGGCTTATACATTTTCACATGCTGTTTCATCCAGGCTGGATGTTATGCTGCCAGAATGGCTCCAGTCAGATGTTGTAACGCCTTCTGGCGGCATACTATCGCGTGTCATGGATTTGTAACGGAAGCTAGGAGAGAAATGGCAAGCGGCAGGAAGCATCAGATCTCGACAATATTCGGTAGTTCCCCAAACTAGGGGGACCCCAATATAGACCCCAAAATGCTATAGTCCTTATTATGGCATGGGGACCCCTAAAATGGTACCTGTAATTTTGGGAAACCCCAATTCCAAAGCAAGACTCGGTGACATCAAGGCGCCTTCAGAAGCCGTGATCTTGACGAGGCCTCTCTAGGTCGCAGTCGGGCGAGGCAAGCAAGTGGGATAAGCAAATCGAAGCTACCATCCCGTTACTGAACTGAAATTAATTTAATATCATGAATATTAATATGGGTATATCGTAAATAATAGGCTTCCTCATTAGAGTAATTTAGAAAAGTTCCTTAACAGCAACCCAGTTAAGCCGGGCCGGTGAATTTTGGTTGAAAGGTTTGTTCGGGACTTTTCGGTACGACATGGAAATCTATGGGGCGCATGAATAGTGAGAGACCTGGAAGAAACCACCCATGTCAGGCCAGCTTACCTACCGTAAGACAGTAGTCATTCTGCTCTATAGTACTCCAAACTCTAAACCCTAAAGACAGCTCCACTCAAGCCTCATCCACTTCGATGCCTAAGTCCACAGTCAGGAGTATGAAGAGATGACCTGTGCAGGGGAGAGCAACTTGCAGGAACTTTAAGCCTAAAACCTGTATATAATGGTATATTAGAGTATCATATATTATATTGTAGTATATTATGGTATCTTACAATATATTATAAATTATAGGCTATTATAGTATATTATGGTACACTCCCCGCACCCTAGAATACTCGTATGTGGGACCCTTGTTCAAAGTATAATGAACGGCACTACAATTGAAACATTTGGGCCGTTCTAGGATGCGAGCAGCACCCACAGTATCCAACCTCGCAATGTCTCTCAGGGCCAAACCCCGCATGGAAGTTCCCATTCGTGGCATCCCGGCGCCACGCACCGCGCGCTGACGACCAAGCCCAAACAGTCCATAGCAGGTGACATCAAGCAAGCTAAGAAATCCATCTATAACGCCAACAGATGGTAGTTTCCCAAAATAGGGGGGGACCCACTATGGACCCCAAAATACTATACTCCTTCATGATTATAAGGACCCTAAGTTTGAGAAAGCCTGCGATGCACAATTGGGCCACACAGTAGCCCGCCCCCCAACGCCTTCAGTTCTCCCTGGCTCTGGCGCACGAAGAGGATAGAACCCTCTGACCTGCAGTGGAACTCTTCCGACTCCAGCCAGTTGGATAAAAACCAAGATCGTAGGACTTCTCAAGAGGGGCTCGCAATTCTAAGAACTTCCCACTGATGGAGGGTGGTCAGCAGACCTGGTTCCCATTTTACCTAGCCTAAACATGTGACAACAAACTCGGCAGTCCCTACTGTAGGCTACGTCTGGAACCATAACATAACAACTTCTAACTGCGAAATCATGGACAAACTCGGTTAAATCCCTAGCGCAGCTTTAACAATCACAACTCATACAGTAGAGCCATCATACTTTCAACTTCAGGAGGTCTGAGATCCGCACGCCTTCTTATTCTTCAGTAGCATGGATTGATCCTAAGGGCTTGCGGTGTTAGGTCTCTGAGGTTGAGACTAGAAAATCTGTAGCCTTGCTTCGTCATGGATAGTTCGAAGGCTATACTCCCCCTTAAGTAGATAGAATCTGGGGTATATGGGGATCTTATTATAATATACCCCAAGGCCATCTTCTATCTACTTAAGGGGGACTATATACCAAACATTGAGATACCTAAAAGGGACCTATCACTCTGTCATACGCTTCAATGCTAGGGTCCTGTGCACGGAAGTAGGCCGTGTCCTCCCAGTAGGTGAACCCAGACCAGCCGTTGCGCCGGCAAACTTCCTGGGAGCAACGCGTGCAGTTTGATAGCCGATGGCTTAAAATAGGTTTAGGGGTTTAGAGTACTATTATTAGTATTATCAGTACTACTATCATTGTTACCTGTATTTTTGTCATTATTGCCACCCCTGGTGGGGTCAGAACAAAACACTGGCAGGAACAGGCAATCTCAGAGGGCTGTGTTGGGTTGATGCCTCCTGGGGCAGGAGAAGACAACATAGATGGACAACGGCAACACTTGCCAGCATGTGCTTCTATTGAACATGCAGCATTGCCCCTTCGGACATGAGCAATTATTACTAGCATTGCCTGTACATGAGCTATAGTCT